GCTTGTCTACTCCTGAAGTTTTTTTCTGCAAGTATGACCCTGAAAACCCTGGGTAAGGCCTAGGACTGGTTTCTCCTTTCCTGCAAAGAGCAAATCCTCGCTCCAGCCTGAGTCCGTGACTCCCCGAGTGGCGGGGATCGACTCCCGTGCCGAGAAGACCAAGTGGTGGGGTTGGCGGGGCTCAGCCTGTGCAGAGAAAGGGGCTCATCACAGACTTTACTAGTCCTAGTCTTCCCAGCGGGTCCCGGGTGGCAGCGGCGGAGAGGGAGAAGGTAACTGTCCTTCCTTCTCTCCTGACTCGCGTGAGCCACATGTTGGGGTCCACCGACATCAATGCCCGGGATTGAATCCAGATTGGCTGTATGCAACGCAAGTGCCCTACCCACTGAACATTCACTCCAGCTCCAGAACATATATATATATATATATATATATATGTATATATATATATAAAATGTTTAAGTTTTTTATTTTTTTAATTTTTTTTGAGATGGAGAGATTTTTTTTTTAATTAGTGAAACACCATGAGGTACAGTTGTAGACTTCCAAATTTTTGTGCTTGGGTTTCGATTATACAATGATCAAATACCCATCCCTCCACCAGTGCCCGTTCTCCACCACCACTGATCCCAGTATCCCTCCTGCCCCCCATCCCCCCCATCCCACCCTGCCTCTGTGGCAGGGCATTCCCTTTTGTTCTCTCTCTCCTTTTGGGTGTTGTGGTCTGCAAAAGAGGCATTGAGTGGCAATCATGTTCAGTCCATAGTCTACTTTTAACATGCATCTCCCTTCTTGGGAGGATCCTCCAAACATCCTTTATTTGGTGCTCCCTTCTGGTCAGGGAAGAGTGCTCAGAGGGCTAAGTGCAGGCTCTACTTGCAGGAGACTTGGGTTTCAATTCCCAGCACCAAAGGGAGGTACCCTCGAGAAAATAGTGCTTCCACCTCTCTGCTCGACCCACCTCGGCCAACCAGGAAAACGCCTGGCATGGGTTGGCTACAAGCACCTACAACCTACAGATGCTGTCGTCCTGTCAGCCCCACGGGCAGCTGTCAAGCTGTGCTCCATAATCCACTTGTTCTGCATGGCCTGGGGATCATCCCCGCCACCCGATTTCTCAGGGAGCCACGGACTCAAATTGGAGTGAGGGATTGCTCTTTGCAGAAAAGAACGTCGTGACCTTGGTCCAGGCACCCCATGTCCGTCACAAAATAGAATTTCAGGGACTGGAGAGCTAGTATGCAGGCAGGGCACTTATTTAGCACATGGCCAACTTGGTTCCCTTCCTTGTTACCTCCATTCCCCAAACCCCCCAAGCCCAGCTAGAAGTGATCCCTGAGCACAAGGCCAGGAGTAAGCCCCCAGCAGTACAGAGCTGTAGTTAAAAAAAAGGGGGGGGGGAGAAAGAAAAGAATTTCAGGAGGAGGTGGAATAGTAAGACTTTAAAAATTTTTTAAATATATTTGTTTTTTGGGTCACATCCAGTGGCACTCAGGGATCACTCCTGGCAGTGATCAGGGCTATATGGGATGCCTGGCCATGTGCAAGGCAAACACCCTACGTTATACTAGCACACTGTCCCAGCAAGGTATTTTTTTATTGACTAAATGATTTTTTTTTATTGATAGAAATATACTTAGATGTGAGGGGGGCACCGGAGGTCCTTAGCTGCTGGGGCTCTGCTCAGGACCTCCGGAGCCAGCCACGGCCATGCTGGGACCACTCTCCACACGTCCGGATGGGTCTCACGCAAGAAAGAACTGGCAGAGGAACCCAGTCATGAGGGTCCCAGGGCTGAGGTCTCCAAGCCTACTCGGATTGGTACTGGGCCTTCTCCACCCAGACCCCCCTCATCTTCCAGTAGGTAGGTGTCACACCCACCAGCTGCCGCCACAGCCAGGTTGGTCCCATCAACGGCCAAGACGCACAGACTATAAAACCCAGCTCCCGGCATCTTATTTTTTCCTTTGGAGAACCTGGCAGGAACCAAAAGTATCCTGTCCGCACGGCAGAGTCTGGCAAACTTCCGTGTCATACTCAATATGCCAAATACCAGTAATAATCATGGGTCTCATTCTCCTAATCCTGAAAGAGCATTGAAATGGCTCTTTTAAAATCTCAGGGCTAGGAAGAAGGAGACATTTCTGGTGCCTGCTCGAGGAAATCGACGAACAACAGGATGGTTGTGATCCTGATGTGAGGGGGCATCTTTATAAATTTCAGTAAAAAGTTCCTTGCTTCACCCCCACCACCCCCCACCAAAAAAAAAAAAGACGTGAGGGGAGCTAAAGAGAAAAATATGTGTTTGAGAGAGAATATAAACTTATCCAGATGGGAGAGAGAGAGGTTGAAGTGATAGTACAGCGAGGAGGGTGCTAATCTTATACATGACGACTCAGATTCAATCCCCAGCACCCCGTATTGTCCACTGAGCTGGCCAAGAGTGATCCCTGAGCGCGGAGCCAGGAGTAGGCCGGGAGTGTAAACCCGAAGTGTGGTTCAAAAACAAACAAACGAAAATCTGTGTTCAAGAAAGAAAGAACAGGGGCTTGAGAGAGCAAGAACCAAGCGACTTTTGGGAGCAGTTTATATAGAATGTCTCCAAAATGTTTTTTTTTTTTTCTTTTTCCCCTGGAGCTCCCAGCATACATATACGCTGTTGCTAATCTTTTCATAATCCCATCATGGCATCTCGAGTCTTCGGTGGCTTCTCCTTTTCCGAGAGATCCATCGGTCTCTGGGTGGGGCCTTGAATTTCTGCATCTGGGCTGGGCGGTGCCCTCATTTCTCCATCTCCAAAGAGCTGGGGATTTGCAGCTCAGAGCAACCTGGAACTCAGGCCTCTGGGCTACTTGGGGGAGGAGGTGGGGAAGAGAGGATAAGTTTTATTATTTCAGATAGACACTTTCACTTGTTATTTTCCTCCATGTCCAGGATTTGATAAGCTTGTTTTTCTTAGTGCCAAATAGTTCATTGGATTGACCACAAAAGAACACCTTGTAGGGCATTCCATGGCCTCCAAACCCTTCCTATCTGGCTCCTTTCTGTCCCTCCTCCGGCCACCATCTCCCGCAGGGCCTTTGCTCTTGCATAAGCAAGGCCACCAGGCATGCACAGAGCAGGCACAGACACAAAGACACACAGACACACGGGAGCAAGCTCTTCTTCCTTTTCCTAACCTCTAGATCACTGTCTGCCTCGGGCCACACAGACACAGAAAGACACACACACACACACACACACACACACACACACACGAGCATGCAAGCTCTTCTTTTCCTGTCTGGACCACTGTCTGCCTCGGGCCATACAGACACACACACGAGCACAAGCTCTTCTTCCTTTTCCTAACCATCTAGACACTGTCTGCCTCCGGCCACACACACACACACAGACACAGACACAGACAAACACAGACGCTGGTGGGCAAGCACTTCCTTTTCGGGCCAGCCACACACACACACACACACACACACACACACACGTGGGCAAGCTCTTCCTTTTCAGGCCAGCCATACACACACACACACACACACACACTTGTGGGCAAGCTCTTCCTTTTCGGGCCAGCCATACACACACACACACACACACACACTTGTGGGCAAGCTCTTCCTTTTCAGGCCAGCCATACACACACACACACACTTGTGGGCAAGCTCTTCCTTTTCGGGCCAGCCATACACACACACACACACACACACACGCACACACACACACTTGTGGGCAAGCTCTTCCTTTTCAGGCCAGCCATACACACACACACACACACTTGTGGGCAAGCTCTTCCTTTTCAGGCCAGCCACACACACACTCGTGGTCAAGCTCTTCCTTTTCAGGCAGTGCACATGGGCAAGCTCCTCCTTTTCGGGACACACACAAACACACACAAGCCCTGCAGCAGCGTTTCTTCTAATTCAAGAAATTTCTAGAACACGGGGTGGGGGGGTGGAATACCCTAACAACTCTGCAGGGCGGCCCCGCCTACTGCCCGCTTCCCCCAACAGAGGCACAAAGGCGGCCTCGTCCTGGGGCGGGGTTGGGGGCCCGGGGTGGGGGGGGGCGTCCAGGGAGCGCCCGGGGGCGTCGGCGCGGCGGGGGAGGGGCGGGCCGGGCCTGGACTGCGGAGGGGGGGCGCCCCGCATCTCCGGGTCGTGAGATGCCGACTGTGCTCGGCGAACACGTTCCGTTCTGAAAACGCACTCGGGGTGCAGCCGCGCGTGGCGGGCGCGACCCGCCAAGCCCTGAAGGGAGGACCCGCGCGGCCCATCATGGCGGCCGGCGAGGGCGCCGCGAGAGGCCCCGGGCAGGAAATGGCGCCGGGCGCGCGGCCCGCTTCGCCGGCGGGGCCGCCACGGAGGCGCCCGCTCGCGACGTCGCCCGGCGGGGGACCCCTGCGGCCTGCGCGGCGCGTCGAGGCCCGGCACCACGGGGGGAGGGAAAAAGACGCCGCGTCGCGCAGGCCCGGGGAAGAGGGGGGCGGTTATTGTCTCTGCAGAGCCGCGGCGCACGCGCACACGCACGCACGCCGGCCCGCGGCGGCCCCTATTCTCGACGCCGACTGCGCTACGCACGCTGCGCAGGGCCGGCTAACGACGCCAGGAATGTTACGTCGCCGCCGCCGCCGCCGCCGCTAGTCCCCACCTTACGTTCGAGTTCCGGCGCGCGCGCGGGAACGCTACGCCCGCTGCGTAACGTAGGGTGTGAGGGGCGGGGGGCGGGCTCTCCGGCGGGCCGCGGAGGGTTCCCGGGCTGCGCCGTTGGCGTAGACCGCGCCTGAGAATCGCCGTCGCGCGCCGGCCGGCCCCGCGCGAGGGGCCCTTCCGCGACGCTGTTTACGTAGCGGCTCCGCCGTGCGTCGCGCGGCTGCCTCCGCGCCGGCCGCCATTTTGTGCCAGTCGCGGGGGAAGGAAGGAGCCGCCTGAGCCGCCGCGGCGCTCGCCGGAGGAGGCCCAGCGCCCAGCGCCCGCGCCCTGCCCGCAGCCCTCGCCGCGCCGCGCTCCCCCCTCCCCCCACCCTCCGCTCCTCCGCACCCCCCGATTCTCTGTGGGTTGCTCCCGTCTCCGACGAGAGAGGCGGCGACGGTGGCGTCTGCGACGGGAGACAGCGCGTCGGAGCGAGAGAGCGCCGCGCCGGCCGCCGCCCCGACCGCGGAGGCGCCGCCGCCCTCGGTCGCCAGCAGGCCGGAGCCGCAGGCCCTCCCGAGCGCGGCCCTGCGCGCCCCGCTCCCAGACCTCTACCCGTTCGGGACCATGCGCGGCGGCGGCGGCTTCGGGGACCGGGACCGGGACCGGGACCGCGGCGGGTGAGCGAGCGGGACGGGTCGGGCCGGGCCGGGCCTCTGTGTGGGGGGGGGGCGTTGGGGGGGGCTTCCACCCCCCCAGGGTCCGAGAGGGCGGGCGGCGGCTCCCAAGTTTGGTTCTGGAGAAAAAGGGGGAAGAAAAAAAAAAAAGGCCTCACGGTTTCTCCCCCCACAGGCTGCCCCGCGGCGTGGGGGGGCCACCCGAGCGTGCGAGGCCGCAGACCCGTTTGCAAAAAAACGTTTTCCAAGTTCCCTCCCCCCCTCCCCACTCACACACACGCGCGCGCGCCCGCCCCTCCCCCTCCGCGAGCCGCTGCTTTCTCGGCCCGCTCGGAGGCGACGCTTTGGGAAAGCCACGGCCCCGAGACCGGACGTGTTGTGTGTTGCTTCGCGGTTGTGCGATCCCTCTCTTCCCCCCCCCCTTTTTTTTCTTTTTTTTTTAATGTGTGTGTGTGGGGATTGCATCGAAGCATTGACTTTTTTTTTTATTCTTTGCGAGAAAGTTCTGCCCCGGTGGTTCTGGCCGCCGAAGTTGGAAGCCAAAGCTGGGAAACCCACCCACTATCCCCCCCTTTCCCCAGATAGTGATTGGGGGAGGGGGAAAAAGCTCAGATAGTGATTGCAAAAAAAAAAAGCGAGCTTCGTTGTCGCTTCCCGTGGAAAAGTTGCATAAGAGCTGGCGTGTGCCCTTTTTTTTTTTTTTCTGTAATTAAAATCGTGTTTCTGGAGAGAGGGTTTTGGGCGCGGGAGCCTTTTGCCCCCCCCGCTGCTGGGGGGTCATAAATAAGAGATGGAATCGCCTTTACTTCGCATTGTTTTCGGGATTGGGAGACCGTTTTTCTGTGTGTGTGTGTGTGTTTTGTTCAGCTTTCCCGGTTCAAAACCAGCTTTTGTCTCTGTTGTGATTGGAATCCGCAGGCCCCAGGGCCCCAGTTACTGCTTAATCCGCAAGATCTTACACAATTGTTTTTGTTTAGGCCTTGTTAGGCAAGAAAATGATTGATTCTGGTGTCGATTTGGAGGCATGGAGCAAGCAGAACGGGTGTTTGTGTCTGTGCTTAAATTTAGAAGTGAACTTCAGCACATCCTCTTAGGGAAAAGGAACAAAGATTATCTAATGAAGCCCGCGGTGACCCGGGGCCTGTACCCAAGCCTCATCGCCAGCACATTCAGAAACTCACTGGGGTGCCAGAGAGCGGGTATGGCGCTTGCCTTGCACCACAGCAGACCCGGGTTCGATTCCCTGCGCCACATAGAGCCCCTGAATACAAAGGCCTGAGTACTGCCAGGAGTTGCTCGCCCTCACATCCTAAATAAGTTTCAAATATAAATGCTTATGCTGGTCGTCTACACTACAGAATCCTGAAAATGGCACCAGTGAAGTGGGGGTGTCTGTGAGTACAATACAGACTTGGAAAAGAAACAAATGCATCGACCTGGTGACTTCTAATATTGAATAGTTTGTGGTAGAATCCCAAGTATGAGGAGACAGACAGGGCAAAAGAAAGTTGGAGATTGCCTGTGACTTGGTTACAGTGCTTGGTGTCAGTTGGAAGCAGGGGCATGTGTGGAGGTGCTTAGGTGCTGGTCAGTTCTCCGGGGTAATTGTGGCAGGTCTTGTCCTTGTTAGAGGTGCTTTTATAGAAATTGCTTGAGGGGTGGGGAGATTATCCATAATTGTCTTATCGGATGCCCCCTCCCCTCTCTCTTTTTTTTAATTTATTTGCTTGTTGGGCTACGCCCGGAGATGCTCAGGACTTAATCCTGATTCTGTTCTTAGGGCTCAGTATTACACTGGGGGGGGGGGGCACATTTAGTGGTGCTCAAGGGGAGCAGATGTGATGTCCCAGGTCTGCCGTGTGCAAAGGCCAACACCCTACCTGCTGTACTATCTTTCCTCCCCCTGTAATTCCAGCCCTAACTGAAAGTTAGAGAGCTCAGCTAGGGTGGGTTTTTGGGGGTATTTTTTGATGAGGAAAAGGAGGTTCATACATGGACTGGGTGCAGTCCAACGGCTGATGCACACTGTATGCTTAAGCTAACATGACTTTTCACATTGATTCATAGATCTTCACAGTTGCAGAGCCAAAATGTGTTAGATAGCAGAAATGGGCCTTGGAATTCTACGAAAGATGATCTTAAGTATTGAAGTCTGCCTTAATTATAAATGTGAAAGGCAGTATTTTAAACAATCTCACTTTGCATGACATAGTCAGGAAGGTATGCTCTGGATAAATGGTTCTTGCGCAGAGAGGCTTAGTTGTGTTTTTCTAACCGAGAAAAGGCTACTTGGAACATATCTTAAAAGGAATGTTTTTAGGGCCACACCTGGGTGCTCAGGGGTCACTCCCAGTCTGGTTGCTGAGGTTCATCCTGCTTGCTGATACTTGGAGGACGCTCAGTGCTGGGGTCGAACCTGGTCTCCCTGGCCCCAGGAGCTTGATAAACTACCCTGGATCTTTGTGGTTTGAGGGTTTTTTTTGGGTGGGGGGGTACATTCAGCAGTGCTCAGGGCTAACTCCTGGCTCTGCAGTGCTGGGAGCAGGGAGGACCATATGGGATGCCTGGAATCAAACCCGGGTCTGCTGAGTGCAAGGCAGGCACCCTACTGTCCCAGTTTTTAAGAGGGACTGGACCTGCAGTTAATACACCTTAGTGTGTGTACCCATAACAGTTCACAGTAACTGTTCACTGTTTCCGTTCCTAACTCCCTTACTGGTCCAGCAGATTACAATGGGACCAACCAAGTCCTGCCTGTTGACTGTAGGCACCAAATGTTCCCCATAAAAAAGATTTCCTGCTGTTAGCCTTTGTGTTTGTATTTGGGGAAATGTTTGGCTTGGTTTTTTAACAGTTTTAAGGACATTTTGAATCCCAGGAAATTGAGGCCCTTTAAAATTGTCAGGATAGCTCCTGCTTGTCGGTTATAAAGTAGAAATCATCTGCAAGATGTTTTGAGTGGGTTAGACTGAGAAGAGAAATTAAGTTTTGTTGTGGTGTCTTTAAGGAATCTGAAAAATGGCTTTTGGACACCAAACAGTACTTGCACATTACTGGTTAAAATAAAGAACTGAAGACCATAGTGGTAATAGTCTTCAAGGAAGAGAACAGTTTCGCTAGTGGCCATATTTATATTTCAGCTGAACTTGACTGCTGTGAAAGTGAAGTTAAGATGATCTTATATGTGTTGCTAAAACAAGCACAGAAAGATTGATTTGAACTAATCTTGATTTACTAAGACCCAAGTGAGATGATTATTATTGACTACCTCTTTCAGGGAAATTGATAGTACTATTAACCTGGCAGCAATGAGGCTCTGTGGAAGTGGAGAGGAAGGGGCTGATCCGTAGCAGGGCAGGTATGGTGGGTGGGCTGACCCAGATGGTCCTCTGAGCCCCACCAGGTGTGGTGTGGGGGAGGAAAAGTTGTGAGTCTTCGTTCTGGCTTTGATTTTCTAGAGTAGAGGTTTGTTTTGTCCAGGTTAGCATATCAGACACCTGCTAAAACAGGATCTGGTATTAAATTGACACCAGGAACTCTGGCTCTGATGATAACTTGTTCGGAGTGCTTTCTGTGCTGGGCAGATTCTGTTTTTATCTTCTGCATGTAGCTACTGTATGTTGATAGCAACAGCCAAAATAACTGGTAATGGTATTCATCTTTTCTGAAATCACTTTGGAGAAGTTAAATAATTTGCTTAATTACTCTTAAGTAGCAGAATCAAATTTCAGGCATTTTTTAGTTTCAGAGCCTTGTAATATCAACTGAGATTTTAATTTTTCCATCTTTCAGTACTAAAATAAGAATACTAAAATATGGAAGGACTGGTAAATTGTTAGGATTTTTGCCTTTTTGCATATTTTTGACACCAAAGAAGTCATCTTTAAAATACAGTCAAGGGCCTAGGAGATCTCTGAGAGTTGGTGGACATGTCTTGCATGCTGGAGGCCCTGTTTTGATTTGGGTAAATCATAGCACGGTCTGTGCCCACCATCGCTTAGAAATGCCTAAGTTGGACAAGTCCAGGGGTGGCTCAGTGGTAGAGCACTTGCCTTGCAAGCGGGCGGCCCTGAGTTTGATCCCCTGCAGCAAATAAAATGCACAAACTAATAGAGTCTCTTTCTCTAGGTTTGGAGCAAGAGGTGGTGGAGGCCTTCCTTTGAAGAAATTTGGTAATCCTGGGGAGCGGTTACGTAAAAAGAAGTGGGATTTGAGTGAGCTCCCCAAGTTTGAGAAGAACTTTTATGTGGAACATCCAGAAGTGGCCAGGCTGACACCGGTAAGTTTTAGTTCATTTTCTTAAACTTGGATGCGCAATCATGAAAGGGACAGACAGCTAGAATTTTGGGGGGTGCTATTCTTGGGATTCTCGGGGTTTCTGCTGTGGTGTTTTCTTTAGGTTCATTTGCACGGTTCGTACTTGGAAATTAAATAGAATGAGTATGTACTTAGTCCGTTTGTTGGTTATGCTTCTCAAGCAGTTTGTCATACGTGACTTTAGCTGTACCATCGTCCTTCTGAGCAAATCGCGTAAATGTGAAATGCTGGCTTTGTGTGCTCCTGCTTCTTAATGCCACCGTCTGTCCTCATTTTCGTCCATAGTATGAAGTTGATGAACTGCGCCGGAAAAAAGAGATAACAGTGCGCGGGGGAGATGTCTGTCCCAAGCCTGTGTTTGCCTTCCATCACGCCAACTTCCCGCGTAAGTTGTTGAACAGCCCAAAATCTTAATTGTTCCAGTTATTGGTAAAAGTGGGTCATTGAAGATTTTGATAATGGCTCAAGAGTTCATTGAAAAGTACACAGAAACATTTCAAAAAGGTAATCACTAATGTAAGGCAGGGTGCACCTGGCTGTACTCAGGGATCTCTCCACTTGGGGCACTGGATCGAACCCCTGTTGGCTGTGTACAGGGAAAGCACCTTAGCTACTGTATCATCTCTCTGGCCTTGGAGTTTTGGGATTTGGGGGGGGTCATGCCCAGCAGTGCTCAGGGATTACCCCTGGCTCTGCATTCAGGAATTACTCTTGGCCGTGCTCGGGAGACCATGTGGGATGCTTGAGCCAGCTCCCTGGGCCTACGCACTTGTTTCTTTTCACCTGCTCAAGGAAAAAGGTCAACACTGCTGTGCTGTCTCTGGCATCTTTGGCGTTTCTGACGAGCAGTAAGCGCCTGTCAGGTGTGCCTGTGCTCTGTAGGGACGTTAGTGGGGGTTTCATGTTGTGAGGAGAGGGGTGGTGGTGGCCAGCTACTTCCTACAGGTACCAGCAGGTCCAAGATTTCAGGGAGTAAAAGTCATAGGTTTTCTCGTGAGAGCTGTAAATCTCAGTGAGCTGCAGGTTTGGTTGTTTTTTGAACTGTCTTGTCTGTGTCTCTAGTTTGATTTCAACACAGTCGTGTGTGTTGTCTTTTGCAGAATATGTCATGGATGTGCTGATGGATCAGCACTTTACAGAACCAACTCCCATTCAGTGCCAGGGATTCCCCTTGGCTCTGAGTGGCCGGGATATGGTGGGCATTGCGCAGACTGGCTCTGGGAAAACATTGGCGGTATGTACCGACGGGAACGGTTTTAAACATTGTGCTAACCTGGTTGCCATTTGACACTTCTCTCCTCGAACCCTCACACACCCAGCTTTGCTCAGGGCTTACTCCTGGCTCTGTGCTCGGGGATCAAACTTGGGTTTGTGATGTGGAAGTCCAATGCCTTACCTGCATCTAGTAGACTTTCTCCAGCCCCTGGTCCCATATGTTCTAGACAAGCGACCTTCCACACCTCCCCCCTTGTTGAAGTGATCGGGGTAACGTGCTTGCTCGGGTGTGCACTCTACCTGTGCTCGGGACCAGGTGTACCAGGGATCAAGCTTGGGCCACGTGCAAGCAAGGCTAGCACCCCCTGCCTTGTTTCTCCTGCGCTAGTCACAGTTCTTTGGGGAGCGGGTGGGGGGTTGTTTCTGGCTGTATGCTTGGGGGTCATTCCCGAGGGTGCTCAGGGCCACACAGTGCCAGGGATCAGTCAAGGCACAAGCAAATGCCTCAGCTGTAGTATACCTAGTTGGCCCTATTCTCGGTTTATCAAATTGTTTGCCTTATCTGAACCGTGAACGTTTTTTCTTAAAAACGTAACTGATGAATTCTGTCTGTTTATCAATGATCACTAAAATAATGGCAGTCTTTTTTTTTTTTTTAATCTCCAGTATTTGCTTCCTGCAATTGTTCATATTAACCACCAGCCGTACTTGGAAAGAGGAGATGGCCCCATTGTAAGTATATTTTAATTCGGTGGTGATTGTGACTTGGGCACAACAGATATACTAATATTTAGTTTTGGGACTTACACCAACAGTGCTCAGAGTTCATTACTGGGCTGGTGGGCTAAGGATGCCCGGAATTGAACCTGGATCTACTGTTTCAGGCATGAGCCTTGCCCGTGTACTATTGCTTCAGCCCCCATTTTCCTAATCTTAGAGTTCAGTTAACTGGCCCGCAGGCCAAGTTGAATTCGAACCAATCTTACTCTTATACTGTACACTCCTTTATATGTAGGCGTATAGACACTATAAACTGAATTACTTTTTTTATAACAACCTTTTATTGATTTAACAATTGACTGGTAAATCTGTCATGGTTCCATCTTACTTTCATTGGTTGATGCCCACCAGTGTCTGGGGACTGGAAGCAGGTCTGTGAGGGGGCCCAGTGCTCGGGGGCTCTTGGGTGGCAGGTGCTGCTCTTAATTAGTGATGGGAGAGGGGTTAACGATTAATGATTTTGCTTTATGCTGCTTTCTGTAATATTGGAGTCTTGGTCTTCACTTTGAATTTGCTTTCTCTGTTTGGTTTTGAGGAGAGCTACACCAGGTAGCACTCAAGGTTTATTCCTGGCTCTAAAACAGGAATTACTCCGGGGGCGCGGGGGGAGAATGACCATAGGGAATTTTAAGGATCAAACCTGGCCAGTCACGTGCAAGGCAAATAACCTCCTTGCTGTAATACACACTGGCCTCTTATTATTTTGTGTGTCAGTCAAGCCCAGTGGTACTTGGGTTACTCCTGGCTCTGCTCTCAGAAACTAACCCGTGGTGTTACTCAGGAGACCATAGGGGATGCCAGGGATTGAACCCAGGTCAGCTGGGTGGAAGGCAAATGCCCTCCCTGCTGTACTATCACTCTGGCCCCCATATATTGAGCTATTTTTTTTTCTTTCCTCTTCTTTAATCTTGTTTTTGTTACATTCTTTCTCGCACAAAAAGAATATTTGCTTTACTACTTTGCCTTCCCCACTGTACTATTTCTCCAGGCCCTGTCATCCATCATTGTTTTGGCCTCACGTGCTTTAAACTCAAACTTATATTTAAAGCTTATATTTAAAGCTTGTTTTTCACTTTATGAAAAATCAGTTAAAACTAAGTAAAACAGCCTGTTTAAAGCTACACAGTCGATGTACATAGAGTGATCGTGTATAAACAGTGAATCTGTTTACTGAATATTCTGGGGGATTTTCGTGCCCCCGCTCCTTTTTTCCACCACGATCACTTGGTCACAGAGCTTTAAAAGTACCAGATGAGCCTTTTTATTTTTTTTTCCAAAATTGAGAAGGGACGTCAATTGTAGCTTGGTTTGTGTCTGTGTCTGTGTTGGGTTTTGTTCTTTAATTTTTGTCGTTTGTTTCAGTGCCTCGTCTTGGCTCCAACCAGAGAGCTGGCCCAGCAGGTCCAGCAGGTGGCTGATGACTATGGCAAATGTTCTCGATTGAAGAGCACGTGCATCTACGGAGGCGCTCCGAAGGGCCCCCAGATTCGAGACTTGGAAAGAGGTACATTTTTAACACGGACACGCAAAGTTACCTTTACCACTCTATGAATGAAAGAAAAGAGAAAAGTGAATTCTCAGGAAACTTCGATATTTATAGTCTTGGAATTAAGAACTGCTCAATTTGATCGGGGGGATGGGACTAGAACACTGGTGGCTGTGGAGAAGCTTTATTCAGATTTCGCCTAGAATTGTAAAGCAGTGATGAAGGGAGGGGGTGTTTGTTCAGGGCTGGGATGCGTTTGGGCATTGGCGCACACGTGCTTTGCGTGCTAGGGATCTTGGGGCCATCACCAGCACTGCTGGCGGCCACTGGAGAAGTTTCTACGTGTAAGGTCTCTGGTGCGATTCCCCGTGCTATCTTCGGGGTGGTGATGAGTTCCATGTTGCGTTGCGTGCTCCGGGAGCCTGGGGTGGAGCATGACGGGTCCCCGCTGACTGCGTTTTTGGTTTTGTTGTATAGGCGTGGAAATTTGTATAGCGACTCCTGGACGCCTGATTGATTTCCTGGAATCCGGAAAGACAAATCTTCGTCGGTGTACTTACCTTGTACTCGATGAGGCTGACAGGATGCTTGATATGGGTTTTGAACCGCAGATCCGTAAAATTGTTGACCAAATCAGGGTGTGTATAGCTGCTGTTGTCTTCATATCCTTTCCCTATTCCAGTTCTCAGATTAAATAAGAAAATCTTTTTCCCCTGGTAGCCTGATAGGCAGACATTGATGTGGAGTGCTACCTGGCCAAAAGAAGTAAGGCAGCTTGCAGAGGATTTCCTTCGTGATTATACCCAGATCAACGTGGGCAATCTGGAGTTGAGTGCCAACCACAACATCCTCCAGATTGTGGATGTCTGCATGGAAAGTGAAAAAGACCACAAGTATGTCACTAGTTCGATTTCATCTCCCCCCCACCCCCTTTGGTCACACCTGGGGTTACTCGGGGGCCATCTGCGGTGCCAGGGACTGAACCCAGGTTGGTGGCCTGGAAGACAGGCGTCTTGCTCACCCAGCCCCACTTGTTTGATTTCTGATAGACTTTTCCTAATAAAAAAGTGGGAAACCCACTGAAAGTATTGTTTCCCATACTTTGTCTTAGAATAGTGTAATTAAAGGCAAGGATTATGTGTCTTTCTGTTCAAATCCCAGTCATGGTCTTGACCAGCAGTTTAGAAAACAATAGTGGGGAAGGGGCGATTTCCCGGAGGTTGATGGAGCAGAGGGAGCAGCTCTAGCCGTGCAGGTGGGTCGGTCGGCATGACAGCTTCGGTGGTGTCTTGTTATCAGGTTGATTCAGCTCATGGAGGAAATAATGGCTGAGAAGGAAAACAAGACCATAATATTCGTAGAGACAAAAAGACGCTGTGATGACCTCACGCGCAGGATGCGCAGAGATGGGTGAGTGCCTGGCTCCATGGGTAGCGGCCAGTCTCACTGATGGGGCTTCTTTAATGGGCAGTCACCCATTCACGGAACCAATGTTCTGTTTTGCAGCACTCTATAAGTTTCACTCGTTTTGTTCTCGTTCTTTCAAGAGTTCTAAGTTGACAGTCCTTTTTCTTTTGACAGCTGGCCTGCTATGTGTATCCATGGAGATAAGAGTCAACCAGAAAGAGATTGGGTGCTTAATGGTGAGTTCAAACCCACGTTCAGTCTGGGCTCTATTTCACAGGTGGGCAAACCCAGGAGTGAAGGTTTTTTTGGTCTGCAGGCCGTGTACTGGTTCTGTCCCAACCATTCAGTTCTGAGATAGCATGAAAGTGGCTGGCTGTGTACAACATGCAAAGACATGATGTAGTTATGTTCCTACCCAAAAAAAAAGTCCCACAGACTAATGTTTGCCAAGATCCTGCCCTTGGGGACCTTTACATAGGCAAATTTTCAGAAGAATTCAGCTGAAAATTTCCATGGGATTGTGGCTTGGTCTTTGTGGTGACCGGCTCCCCTCTAGGAGCTAGCATGGTGCCCACTAAATGGTGCCAGATTACAAGAGATCTTCTTGTCCTGCTGGAAATTCTAAGGCGGACAAACTGGGGCAGAACCCAAGAGCAGGGCTGGGTTCTGCATGCCGAGACCCATAACCCGTCTTCAGTGCCAAGAGCGGCCATCGCCAGGGGTGGCCCCAGATCAATAAATAACAGATTCTCCCAGCATCCCTATTGCCAAGGGTGTTAGGAGCTCTGTCCTTGGGATGTGCCTTTGTCTGTTACTCACTTTGGTGGTCGACTTTAAGGAGGGAATTCTAGTTCTTGTAATTTATTAAGAAATTGTCCCGGTTCGCGAGGCTGGAGAGAGCTAGCGCAGGAGTTGAAGGGCAGTGCCGGCCATCGCCCCTGAGCAGCACCCAAAAAGAAGTCAGAGATGTCAGCCATGTTTTATTGGTGCTTTGATCAATTGCTGGTCCCTTTAAATTTAAAAGAGGTATTTCTTGACCTTGCTAATTGAAATATGGTCAGTTGAAAAGGCCAGATGGGAATGTCGATTTGATCATTTTCTAAGCCCTGTCACTTCGGCCATCTGAGTAGTCCCGTCTCTTCTCTTGCAGAGTTCCGCTCTGGAAAGGCCCCCATCCTCATTGCCACAGATGTAGCCTCCCGTGGGCTAGGTTTGTATAGATAGGTGTCTCTCTCAATGGTACACGGAGTTTTTGGTTTAAAGATTTGTTTGTCGTTTCAACTTAGAGTTGTCAATGCAAGTTACACGTCTTGACATAGAGTAAAAGACAAGAATACAAAGTGTGATTTCCTCCCCACAATTTTTTTTAACCTTGATGTTTTTTTGTTGTTGTTGTTGTTTTTGTATTTTTTGTTTTTGTTTTTTGGTTTTGGTTTTGTTTTTTGGTTTTGGTTTTTGTTTTTCTTTTCAAAGTCTCTTCCTGCTCCTAACAAACAGGCTTTGGTCTGCAGCAAGGCCTAGGCATGACTATCCGACAGAGAGAGGGAGAAGAGGCATTCAGTTGAACAGCACAACTTCTTCCTGCTTTTATTCGAATTTTTTTTGGCTGAACAGAATGAGCCTGGTTGAACCTAGCACTAATAAGCTGGGTTTCTCAGTAACTCTTTTCCCTAGCACAGTCTCTGGATGTCCAAGTCCACGAGTGCTAACATAATTTACCAAGTAGAAAAACAGCATCCCGTCCCATTGCAATTTAAGTCTGCGCTGTCCAGTTTTATTTACGGCGATAAAACCAGGGATTCTCAGTCCTTCCTCCCACTCATGCTCATTACTTGCTGTCTTCCACTCGAAGGCCTTAGAATAGGACGCTGATGCGCTTGAGATTTCCACCCGTTGTGATTGGGGCCGAGCATAGCGCAGAGAGCGCAGGACTGAAATTTTTCCTCAAGCTGAGAGCTTTTGGTATCAAAGATTTAAATCGTCGGTATTAAGTTTCTTTCTTACCCGGTAAGACGGAACCTACTGTATTCCCTTGTATTTTACTTGAAAGTGGACAGACGTCCAAGTTGGCCTAGAGAAGTGCAGTCTTTTTGTCCTGTGCCCTCCTTCTGAGGTGGTGGCCTGCAGCCATGACTGACTTGTCTCTGCCCTCTGAGGTCATGTCTGGATCCGTGCGGCTAGAACTTGGGCCTGTTGGGAGAAGAGGCTGAGGCCTGAAAGCAGTTGCCAGAAAAGCTTTCAGTGACGGTGGTTTTTAAACAGGCTTGCTATGTGCTGGTCGCTTCTTTGTGCATCTTGCCTAGACAATTACAAATCCTTGCTCCATGTCCCCAGCATTTCTCGACCCAATCAATTGGCTACTGTGAGAACGATTTAGACTCTTCCTCTGACCCCCCACGCATCCAAGTTGGGGGAGAGGGAAGGTTACCCGCGTCTGTTTCTTGTTACTCAACATCAGAGCTTATTTTGGGCCCCTGTGTTTGCTGCCTTGTAAAAATCAAACGGCGGGGGAAACCCACCAAAATGGCAGAAAGCTGACCAAGGTCCTACAAGATCCTGGAAAGTGAAGGCTCTCCCTCACAGCCAGGGGTGCGATTTTCAGCTGAGTCACCAGGCCTTTTTTCACTTCCCGTCGAGCGATGGCCTCTTAAATGTTCCCTTCAGGTAAGTTCTGCGATTCCCATAATTTTGTAGTCCTCAGGAAGCCAGTATTCCCTCACCACTGGGTATTTTTTATTTTTGCTTAAGCTATACACTGTTAAACGAAAAGTATTGAATTTCTTTTGTTTTGTTTTTTAACAGAAGCTTTGCTCTCAGCTGCAGATCCCTGAGTTACATGGCCGAGGCAAATCTACACTGGCCAGCTGCCCCTCGAGACGAGCCTCTGGGCTCCTCTCAGTCCCTCCCAGTAGCCATTGGAGATTCAGGCCATGGCCTAGGCTTGTCAGACAGAAAGCCCGTCCTTGTCCTAGGCAGCTGACCAAAACGGGCGCTTGCCCGTTGCGCCCCTGCTCCAGCATCTCTAAAGGCAGCAAGATCTGGCCGGGGCAGTGCGCACGTAACAGCAGGGCCGGCCTGCCCGGACGCAGCCAGCTGTCTGAGCGGCCGCAGGACACTGCCTGGTGCGAAGAACTTGCGCCCTGTCTGCTCCCCTCCCGAACCGCACGCGCACGTAGTAGCACCCGACTGCTGCCTGCTGCCTCCCGTCCCGGTGCTTTCTGCGCGGAAAGCGGCTCCCTCTGGGCCGCGTGTGTGCTCGGCCTCCCTGCTCTGCCGCTCACACCCGGCGGCCTTGAGGCGGAGCTCGGCCACGCTCGCTCTGAAGATGATGTCGTGGTCGCCCCGCCCCCCCTTCCCCTCCCCCCGACCCATTCATCCTGGCCCCCAAAATTTTGCTCTCCCTTTGTTGCATCAATGACCCTGGCCGGAGACTCACGCTGCCCCCTGTGATAACTGCCTTCTCGTCTTTCTGGTGTGATTTCAGGACTTTAGGGGTCAGTAGAGCCCGAGGAGCCTTTACCGTAATAAGAAACAGACATGAAGCCCCTTTCTTCGCAGGCCCTTTACCAACACCTGACTTTTTTTTGAATCCCCTTCCCCCTGAAATTAATCCAGTCTGGGCAATAGATGCAGTCTGACCCTTTGGATGTAACTTACATTTTTGTACCTATTTTTTTCTATAATCACCCCAACTATCCTTGGGGGAGGCGTTGGAGGACCTGAAATTTTTACCCGAACCCAGGTTCTCCGGCGCTTGGCAACCAAATGGGGCTACAGAGAAGCATCTAAGCCAGTTCACAGAGCGAGCGTGTGTGGGGACTTCTCACTGCCACGGACCCTTGATGCATGCTCCCCGCGCTCCAGTGGTCCCGTGTCAGAAGGCGGAGTTTTCGAAAGGAGGCCGCCAAAAATAAAAGGCAAAGAGACGGGATCGGCTGCAGCGGCTTCCCAAAGGAGGAGGGAGTGTGCATCGGTCTGGTAACAAACAGAGAATGTTTTTCATTGTTTCTATCACAAAAATCTGTGTTTTATCTAGGATATCTCGGAATATTCTTTGTAAAATGCAGATTTTTTCCACCAAACATTAGGATTCTTTGCTATAGTCTTAAAGTTGTTTGTTTGAGTAGGTTAAGATCTACATTTAGCCGGAAGCATTACACTAACATTTACATATTGGAAGCATTAGAAGGTTATTCCACCCCATTCCCAGCGGTGGGCAGAATGCTAAACTTGTGTCTCAAGGTTTCATGGTTTTTTTCCCCACACTGGCTGTTTAATGTCACAAGGGCGTGTAGAGAATCTTTGATAAATCGAAGCAAGTGCTGAGTTGAAAGAACCTTGAGTTGAGCAAAAAAACCTATTTGGCAGAGCTGGGCTTGGTAGTACAGTGAAATTTTAGTGTAATGTGCTCTTGTGTTCTCAAACAGGAGAGAGAAATTTGGGTATTTCTTCGAAGGAAAATGGGTTGTACTTTGGCTCTGATAAGTTTTTTAAATGTAAGAGCACGAGATTTTTTAATTGAAATGCTTTTACTGTATCCTGAAACATAGTAATGAAATATATGCAGTTTCTTTTTTTTTTCCTTTTTTTTTTTCTTTTCATTTTGCTCTGTGACTGGTTTAAAGGTAAGTTTGTTACATTACTGGTGCCTTCTGCTGGGCTTCTCCCAACAGAGTAAAAGTGATGAGACTTTGGGATTGTGGCCCTCCCATTCTCTTCGACGTTCCAGTTCTGCGAAGGATGGAACTAGAACTCGGTCCAGCGCCTGTGTGGGTTTCCCACACAGAAGAGGCAGGCGTTTGGGTGGGATGCATCGGGGTTTCTCCCCCGACACCAGTGGCGCTGCTCGAGCTCGTCCCGGGACCCGGGGATGCTCTTCTACTCTGTTGGGATGAGTCTGTTTTTGTCCCTGTTGAGAATGGTCACTAACTTAGCCTTCTCTCCTCTCACTGTCATCTGCATTCGTGCTTCCCACCTGTTGTTGGCATGTCCTTTACCTTCTCTCTCCCTGCCACCTCAACCTACTCACTGACTCTGAAGATGTGGAAGATGTCAAGTTTGTCATCAACTATGACTATCCAAACAGCTCCGAGGACTATGTCCATCGGATCGGCCGAACGGCCCGGAGCACCAACAAGGGCACCGCCTACACCTTCTTCACCCCAGGGAATCTCAAACAGGCCCGAGAGCTCATCAAAGTGCTGGAAGAGGCCAACCAGGCCATCAACCCTAAGCTGATGCAGCTGGTGGACCACAGAGGCGGCGGCGGCGGAGGGGGTAAGGCTGAGGCCTGGAGTTGCTCCAGGAACCGTCGAAGGTATCTTTGGTATTTACTGTGTCTCCTGTTGGATCCCGTGCGGCTGTAATGACAAGGGAGAGCACTTCGTAGTTCTCATCCAGTAAGGGGCCTTGCCCTGATTGCCTTACCTTTGCAGAAATATAAAATGAACTTGATTTTGAGGTACAGAGTGTATGTTCCGATGCCTTCGACAACCTTGAGGTAGTGTGAAGCTGTCAGTGTTACCCATGGAGAGGCCGGTCATTTGGGTTTTATGCGGCAGGAACAGGAAAGATAGGAAACTGAAAAAATTGGACATTGCAAAACTTACGGAGAGGATGTTGGATATTTTTGTACCTAGTAGAGGTTTTGGTAATTTTACATTTTATTCATTTTGGTTTGGGGGCCACACCTGGCTATGCTCAGGGCTTAGTCCTCACTCTGCACTTGATCGTTCCTGGGGAGGCTCAGGGGACCCTCTCCTGCTGGGGACCAAACCCAGGTGGCCCAGATGCCCGCTGGCCTATCTCTGGCCCAGAATTTCTTAATATTCTGAAATCACGTTGCATTCTGAAACATCCCAACCTTCTTGTACCCTCACTTACGGGTCATAAATGTTTTTGTTTTGGAGCCAGGGATCTGTTCAGGGATCACTTCTGGCGGAGCTCACGGGCCCACATGGGGTGCTGGGGATTGAATCTGGGTCAGCCACATGAAAGGCGAATGCCTTGCCCACTGTAGGGTCGCTCCGGTCCCTGGAATCACAGAATTCTTAGGGAAGTACTTAAACCTTTCCTGGTGCAGCCGTGACGGACCACAGCCAGCCCGGGGCACTGGGGACTCCTGAGCAGTGTGAAGTCTTAGGTGTTGGTGTTGGCCAGGAGGCCAGCCCGCTCACAGCGGGAAGCGCGGAAGTTCCTCTTGGGTGCTCGGTTGATTGGGGCCCTCACCCAGCTGGCTGCAGGCCGGAGAGCGAGTGCAGCGAGCACATGCAGAGCGCCGCGCCTTCCCCCGGGCTGCCCCCAGCTTCGTGGGTGCCTGTGGATAGCGCTGACTCGCTGTCCACCTTTGTGCTTCGGGTTAGATCTGAATTGGGCCTGAATTTCTTGCCTTCTCCCACAGGAGGTCGTTCTCGCTACCGGACCACTTCCTCGGCCAATAATCCCAATCTGATGTACCAGGACGAGTGTGACCGGAGACTTCGAGGCGTGAAAGATGGTGGCCGGAGGGACTCTACTAGCTATCGGGATCGTGGGGAGACCGATCGAGCCGGTTATGCTAACGGCAGTGGCTATGGAAGCCCCAATTCCGCCTTCGGAGCACAAGCAGGCCAATACACCTATGGGCAAGGCACCTATGGGGCAGCCGCTTACGGTACCAGCGGCTACACGGCCCAGGAGTACGGTGCTAGCACCTACGGGGCCAGCAGCACCACCTCAACTGGGAGAAGCTCGCAGAGCTCTAGCCAGCAGTTCAGTGGGCTGGGCCGCTCCGGGCAGCAGCCGCAGCCACTCATGTCCCAGCAGTTCGCGCAGCCTCCGGGAGCTACCAGCATGCTAGGCTACATGGGGCAGACGGCCTACCAGTACCCGCCGCCCCCGCCACCCCCGCCGCCCTCCCGCAAGTGAGGCACGTGAGGCGCAGACTTCAGGAGAGGATTCTCCCCTCCTCCTCCCTCTCCTTCCTTTTCTTTGGCCTTCCCCCTAACCGTTGTGATTTGTCTTTCATGCAGATTAGTTAGATTTCACTGCCAGATTTCTTCTGCCCGCCAAAATGATCCAGTCTGTCATTAACAGATTTTGTAAAAAAAATTATATATATATACATATAGCTGACTGGAAGGGTTTCCCTCCCCAGCTTCTTGCATGTTGAGGATATTTGAGCTATTTTTCATCTAAAAAGGAAAAGTAAGGTATTAGGCCCTTTTGTGGGAGCCGGTTTTTTTTTTTGTTGCTGTTTTGAGTTGGGGGGCAGGGGGGAAGCTGGGCGGGGTGGGGGGAGACGGCAGCTGTGCTTTCCGGTGAGCTCCTTGCTGGCTCCGGGAGCCAGGAGGGACTTGCGTGTTGTGGTTCCACTTTGCTTTCTGGTGTTTCTCTGGCTGAAACGGGGTCCCTCAGGCCTGACATTTTTAAGACAGTGCATTGCATTGTCGTTAAGGCTGATAGCTTGTTCAGTGCATTTCAGGGGTTTTGTTTTGTTTTGTTTTGTTTCTGTCTTTAAGTTCTTGATTGATTTTTTTTATCCCCCCCCCCCTTACAACCCACGGTTGCTGAAAAATAACTTCTAGTGGCGAGTTAGAAATTGAATTGCTGAGTCTGCATTTTCAACTATCTTTCAGAACTTCCCAGTGTTGAGCACAATGGTTAAATGTAGCCTCAGCATCTGGCTGGACACCGTCTCTTCCATCCCCATAGGAGCAGGGCTCGTCTGCAGCGTCCCTTTCCACCCAGATGGCTGCAGTGAGCAGAAGGAATGTGAATGCTCGTGGGACATTACTGTATTAGCCCGTTCGTATGCATTCACCTCCAATGTATAAATACCCTGAGTTAGAAACAGAATAGAAGAATGGGCAGATTTTCTTTCTGAAGCTCAGTCTAGCGCTAGAATAAAAGTAACTCCTTGCCAGCTGCTCAGCTCCGTTGGCTAAGTTATCTAAAACCAAGTCTTAAGGGTTTCTTAAAGAACGCTCCTGTATTCATGCTCTGTTCTCTGCAGTGCTTTGTAACAGCTTTTGGGTGCAAGTTTTCCTCCGCATCCTTTTGCACTCAGCTCTTTCCAGGTAGGTAGTGCATAAGGGAAATTATGCGGGACTGAAGCCCACGTCCCCGGTTTTACTTTCCCTCCATCTGAAGGTAGGTGAGTTTGTCCCGTTCTAGTGATCCTGTTTGCTCAGACTTGTGTGGCAGGCGGCCCGGGAAGGACTTCTGCTCCTGTGCTCGCTCACCAGAGCAGTCCAGGGAGCCCCGCCTGCTCCGGGCCCTCTCCCAGGCCCGTGTGGACTCATGTTACCGCTGTCCATCCACTGTGGTCCCACGGCCGGGCTGAGAGCGCCTGCTGGGCGTCAGCTCTGGATGGCCGACCATGCGTTCTTGTTTTTCCTTTGGAGCCTTGTTGGGGAGAGAAAAGGCTTGTCTGGGGGCTCTGAGGGTGTGGCTGGCTGTGCAGCGGACAGGTAGGTCGTCAGCGGCTGTTCCCCATGCATGTCAGCTTGAATATCTGCCCCCTACCCCCACTTTCTTACCTCTTCTCTTTCCTTCTCCTTTTTCCCCCAGAAGTTGAGGCTGAGGGAGGACGGCGGGCCCAGGCGAGCATGCCACGCTCCTCTCTTGTCCTCAGGCCGGAGTGTCCAAAGCATCCCCCTCCCCCCCCTTTTTTTTTTCCCTCTGAGCATTGACTAGTTCATTGAAAAATTTTCCCATACCAAAACTTGGGTTGGTTGTTTTTTGGGATTTGTTTCTCGTTCTTAGACCCCACAGAGGTGCCATATGAGCAGCACCTACTCTCGGGTGTTGGGCAAGCAGGTGGTATTGGTCTGCTCCTGGCTTCCCTCCTTCTACCATATTTAAGTCAAAAACAAAAACAAAAAAAATGGCCAACTCCAAGTCTCAATGCTACTATGGCCCAAGTCCAGCTGAAATCTGGCGGCTTTTCCTGTATAGCTCTAGAGTAACTTTCTACCTCCACGTGTCACTCAGAACCCAGGCTCTGCCCCGGCTGCAGAGCCTGACCACAAGAGTCCTCATCTGATGCTCATCAGCGCAGCCCCGGCTGAACCTCCATAGGGAAGATCTCAGTATTATGCTCCGGGGCTGCCTCCCCCTCCCCCCCCAACAATTGTGTAGACTTCTCATCTGAAAGGTTGGTGGCTTTTGCTTGGGATCGGAGCTCTCTAGTCGTGTCCTTGCTGGTCTCTGAACACATTCCTGTCGCGTTAAGACTTGAAAGATTGTGGCTGTGTGTTGTTCAGGCACATGATGCTAAGAGCTATGTTACTCTTCTAGTCTGTAAATTGTCCTTTTGATACCATCTTGTTTTCTTTTGTAGGTATAAATAAAACACTGTTGACAATATGGTGTGACTTTTTTTATTGCTTAAAACGTCTCTGCCTACAGTCTAAGCACTAGTCCTTCGTTTGTGTTTCATTTAGCACCTGAAAGTGAATCAGGGTGGGGGTGGGATTGACAGGCTTTGGTGGAGGAGTTGGAGTCAGTCACAAGACACTGCCCACTGGTCAGGGTAATAATGGCCCTTCTCCCGGGCCCCACCACACACGGGCTGGGCTGGTGGCGCTACGACAGTCTCAGGTGCGTAGATTCACAAAGTTGGTGAGTCAAGTTTGCATAAAGCCTTGCAGTTTTAGAAGTGAAAAAAAATGGAGTGGGGGCGGGCACTCCCTGCGATGCTCAGGGAACCAGATGGGGTATGAGGATTCGGACAGGCTTGGCTACGTGCAGTACGAGCACCTTAGCTCCTGTACTCTCCAGCCCCCTAGAAGGAAGATTCTTAAAAAAGCAAAGGAACCTTTTCTGTGAGTGCCTGGGTTTGCTATATCCCTCCCCCCTCTCTTGGCGCCATACCTGGTGGCAGCTTGGTACTGCCCCTGGCTCCCTGGTAACAGTTTCCAGGCAAAGCTCCAAACTTCATCCCTTAGTACCTTGTACCTTGACTCTAGATTTGATTCACCTGGAATGTGAGAACGACGCCATAACCCAAATACTTGGTTGCGATCTTCATTTGGCATATTTGCCCTGAACACAGTAGGGCACCTTCAGGATTAACAGGTGTTCAGTGAGTCACTGGGGTCTGTTGACCCGTTCGCGGCTTAGGCACTGTAGTTCCGTTGGCACTGGGAGGCACTATGGAAGGGCATTGGTGAGCAGGTATTCTCGGGCTTCAGATTGGCACTGGGAGACTTAGCTTCTTTCCTTTAAGGACTGGAAGGAAACAGAGGTTAGAGGCCAGCTTAGAGCATGGGCTTCGCGGTGGCTCAAGTCTGGCTATCAGCCTAGGGGGAGACGATTGACGCAGGCAGCCCAGGTGTGACCAGTGTGGCCCAAAAAAAACAGCCAAGTGAGAAACGGGCCAGGCTGTCCCTTTCCTGGGCACCAGCACTCCTATAAGAAGCCGAGTTCAGTTGGCAATTGGTCATCCCTCCCGCTCCTCTCCGCTGAGGCTGAACTTGCCATCTGCAGGTTGTGTGGGTTGTTTACTCTGGAGTGACACCTGGCCAGACTCAGGGTTCACTCCTGGTAGTGCCTGAGGGACCCATGTGTGGAGCCAGAAATTAAACTTGGGTCAGCTGCTGCAAGGTAAACACCCTTTCTGTGTTGCTCTAATCCTTTGCCTTTTTTTCCTTGCTTTTTGGGTCATACCCGGCTGATGCTCAGGGGTTCCTCCTGGCTCTGCACTCTGGAATCACTCCTGGCGGTGCTCGGGGGACCCTATGGGATGCTGGGAATCGAACCCAGGTCGGCCGCATGCAAGGCAAACGCCCTACCTGCTGTGCTACTGCTCCAGCCCCTCTAATCCCTCGCCTTTTGATGACATTATGGGAACACTTTTTTTGGGGGTCACACCCGGCGATGCACAGGGGTTAGTCCTGGCTTTACACTCAGGAATTACTCCTGGCGCTGCTCAGGGGACCCTATGGGATGCTGGGAATCGAACCCAGGTCGGGCCGTGTGCAAGGCAAATGCCCTTATTACCCACTGTGCTATCACTCCAGGCCCCGGGAACACTTTTTAAGACCTCTGCTCACTTCTGTACCCTCCCCTGTCTTGGGTGGTTGAGTATCTGGCCAGTACCAGCAACTTGTCAAGCCACCTACCTTTGGTCACATACAAGTAGAAGAAGTCGCAGTAGAAAATGGTCTGGACGACTCCAGATACCACTGCGATTTGGTCATAGAAATTTTCAGTCTGGTACCGGATGATCCAGTTAGCCAGGTAGAGTGCCCGGTACAGCCCGAGGAAGAACAGGTAATGAGTGGTGATGGTCTCGGCCTCTCCAGTCTTGCTGATCATGAACAGCTGAGGCAGGATGGCCACGGATTCCAGGTAGATGGAGAATGTCCAGAGGATCTGAGGCAAAGGAAAGAGTGGCCAGACGGGCCCATCAGGAACAGGAAGGAAGCTCCCTACAAAAGAGTCTAATGTTGCCTGGTGGCACTGCACTAGGGAAAACCCGCAATCTTGAAGGCCTTTTTTTTTCCGGGGGCGGGGGTCACACCCAGCGATGCTCAGGGGTTCCTCTCGGCTCTGCACTCAGGAATTACTCCTGGCGGTGCTCGGGGGACCATATGGGATGCCAGGGATCGAACCTGGATCAGCTGCGTGCAAGGCAAATGCCCTCGCGGCAATATTACAAGCTCCAGCCCCTCCTGAAGGCTTTTTCACAGTAGTGTGAGCCTTGGTAGAACTTTCTTTTTCACTGTTACTGTATAAATGCCTTGTCAAGAGTACGGTTTCTCAAAATCCGGTCCGCGGATCTCAAAGACACAAATGCTGCTCTGCACACTCGGGCCAGGGCCCCGGGTCCTGCATCGGACGCGGCCGAGAGTGCACCCACAGTGCTCTTTGGAAGGGGCTCTCTTAAGACCACTCCCATGTGTCTATGGGGTGAGGGTGGCCTGCGAACCGAGGACCAGGGCCACCGCACAGTGCTCGCAGACGTGATCATTGTCAAAGTTCAGCACTGTCGGGCTGGAGCGATAGCACAGCAGGTAGGACGTTTGCCTTGCACGCAGCTGATTCTGGTTCAATTCCCAGCATCCCATAGGGTACCCCGAGCACAGCCAGGAGTAATTCCTGAGTGCATGAGCCAGGAATAACCCCTGGGCATCGCTGGGTGTGACCCCCCCCCAAAAAAAAATTCAGCACTGTCGCCGGGGTGTCAAGCAGTAACTGGGTAAAGAGGCTTGTCACCCTGGACGCAGTCAGCCAGGCTAGGCCCTTGGAGGGTCCAGAGTGAGCGGTGCTGGGGAGTGTGCTGGGACCCTTCCCTTACCTCCAGGGGAGTGAAGCTGTAGTTCTCGAGGAAAGAGAGGCCAATGACGGGGATCAGGAGGAATTCCAGACGGAACGTGTCGTTCTCACGGTCAAACGTCTTCCGGAACTTCCCATAGATCATGTACACCGTGACATAGGCACAGAGGAGGAAAACCACCTACAGAAGAAGGAGGGGAGGGGGGCACACGTGTTCCAACCCCAGGACTGCACACAGCCCGAAACTGCTGCAGTGGCCAAAGGTGCCACCGGAAGTGACCACCTGCCCCTCCCCTAAAAAAAAAAAAAAGCTTATCTAAAGAGATGAGGGAATTGGAGCCTCTTTACTGGGCTTCAAAGCCAAATTGGGATGGACCCAAGCTAAGAGCCAGGTTTGTGTTGCTCTCCGGGCCCTGCCCTTTGGGGTAATTCCCCCATCAGGCTGGTTTATTGCTATGACAACGCAGAGACACCCAGGGTCTCACTCAAGATTATTATTTTTTTATTTTGCAGAGGCAGGGGGAGGGTATTTAGATTTGGGGCGACGTCCAGCGATGTTCAGAAGTTACTCCTAGCTCTGCGCTCAGGCATCACTCCTGACGGGGTTCGGGGGACCACATAGGGTTCTGGGGATCGAACCCAGGTCGGCCACATGCAAGGGCAAGTGCCCTACCCACTTTGTTATCACTTCGGCCCCCAAGGCTTCTACTTCCGGCTCAGCATCCCTGAACTGTGAGCATCTTCCAACCCAGGGAGCATGCTCACTCGGTAATTACAGGCACCTCCCACCATGGAACTGATCGGCAGCCTGGGCCAAGTCACTCCAAGCTGCACGAGCATCAGAACCAGACAAGAGGGCTGTGGCGCGCCCAATGTTGCAGAGTTAGGTCTGGAAAGGCCTGAGAATCACCCCTTCCAGCACATCCCCAAGGCCAGCCTGCAGGTCTGTGGTCACACTGGCCTGGAGAACTGTTCGTGCTTCAAAACCCAGGCTCTTTCCTCTTTTTCTTTTTTTTCTCTGCCAAATGCACATCCAGTCTGTCATTCGGCCCCGGTGAAAATGTTCTCTGCCACCACATTTCATAGATGTTTGCCCACCAGTCTGTCTTCCCAGGGAAGAGGGACTCCTAACGGGACGCAGTGTTGAGGACAGCAGAATACAGCAGGGAGTCTTGCACCCCAGACTTGCACCCCCAAGCCCGGCCAGGAGTGATCCCTGAGCACAGCCGGTGTGCCCCTCAAAACAAAAACCAAACAGGAAAGCAATTTCCTCCTCACCTCATCCCTCCACTCAGGCCTAACCCAAAACAGATGCTGGAATGAGTGAATGAACGAGGCGCTCGCTTCATTTGACAAACGAGAACTGACCGCTCTGAGGCTGCCCTCAGCCAGGCCCTAGCCTGCCCCAGTCCATTCGTGGCCGGCCGGAAAACAAACAGAAAAGGCAGGCGCTGTTTCCTGCTTGGGTTGAAGTTTATCTAAAGTGATTCCGAGAACTCAGATGGAAGTCCAAAGCCCCACCAGGAAGGACATCTGCCCCGCAACTAGGGTGTCTGCCCACCGCCCTGACAGCAATATTCAGGAATCTCGAGGCAGAAACTTTGACATGGAAACAGAAGAGTTAATTTAATTAAACATTCTGGGGGTGGGGCTGGAGCGGTAGCACAGTGGGGAGGGCGTTTGTCTTGTACACAGTCAACACGGGCCCAGTTCCCAGCATCCCATAGGGTCCCCTGAGCACCGCCAGGAGTAATTCCTGAGTGCATGAACCAGGAGTAACTCCTGTGCATCACCGGGTGTGCCGCAAAATAAATAAATAAATAAACAAATATATTCTGGGGAGGGGGGACTGGAACAATTACAGCAGGGAGGGCGTTTGCGTTGCATGCAGCCGACCCAGATTCTAGCCCCAGTATCCCATAGGGTCCCCCCGAGCACCGCCAGGAGTAATTTCTGAATGTAGAGCCAGGAGGAACCCCTGAGCATCGATGGGTGTGACCCAAAATCACCACCACCACCCCGCGAGATTAAAAAAAAATCCTCATATTCTGAAGGGGAATTTGCCAAGCAAACACTTTAATAGATCATCTCGCCCACACCCAACGGCAGTCAGGGCTAAATCCTGGCTCTGCACTCAGGAATCACTTCTGGAGGTCTCAGGGGACCATGTGGGGTGTCAGGAGTTAAAACCGGGTGGCCACATGCAAGGCAAGCACCCGACCCTCAGTGCCGTGGCTCCGGGCCCATCTCTGGCCTTAGTTTAGACGGGAGGAAGGAGCTTCTAATGCTTCTGTTGGTTCCAAGGGCTCCACCCGCCCAGCGGCGCTAAGCCAGCGTGGGAACAGCCACACGCTCACCTTCATGACGCTGTTGTAGACGGAGATGAAGTTGGTGAACAGGTCCAGGTACCTGGCGGTGAACACGAGCGCGAACAGGGCCTGGCTCTTGCCCGAGATGCCTGCGGGGAGGAGGCCATGAGACTCTGGAACCCCGTGGGCGCAGCCACCGTGTGACATGTGTCCTGGGCACTGGCCCAGAGTCCAGGGAAGCTGCTCCTGTCAGGAGGCCGCGGTCCATCTCAGCCTCCCAGGGGACACCACCCTACTCTCGGGGGCCTGGGGAGGTGACGGACCTAGTGAGGGTGTTGAAGTTTCTCTTGGCTCCACCCCAGACCCCACAGAGGACACCCCCATGGAGATCTATCTTTAGAGGAAAGTCACGGATGTGCCAAGATGCGATGGGCAAGGTGGGCACAGGGGGGCGCAGGGGGGCACAGAGGGCCCTGGTGCCGGACTGGGCTGGGGAACTCACTTGGCCAAGTTTTAAGACTGAGAAAGCTTTTTACTTGAAGTTATAGAACGTCTGGCTTTATTCACTCTGCAAAACCAAAATCATATACTACAGAGTTGTAAAGAAGCAAGAAAGAAACGGCTGGAGCGATAGCACAGCGGGTAGGGCATTTGCCTTGCACTCGGCCGACCGGGTTCAATTCCCAGCATCCCATAGGGTCCCCTGAGCACCGCCAGGAGTAAATCCTGAGTGCAGAGCCAGGAGTGACCCCTGAGCATCCCCGGGTGTGACCCAAAAGGTAAAAGGTAAAGGTAAAGGCCCTCCCGTTGATCGTCGATTTGCTCGAGCGGGCCCAGTAACGTCTCCGTTGCAGACTTTGTTGTTACTGTGTCTGGCATATCAAATACTCTCAGTAGCTTGCCGGACTCTCCGAGAGGGGTGGAGGAATCGAACTCGGGTCGGCCATGTTGGCCGCTTGCAAGGCAAACGCCCTACCCGCTGTGCTATGGCTCCAGCGGTAGGGCATTTGCCTTGCACACAGCCAACATGGCTGACCCGAGTTCGATTCCTCCGCCCCTCTCAAGAGCCCTGCAAGCTACCGAGAGTATTCAATATGCCAAACACAGTAACAACATAGTCTCCAATGGAGACGTTACTGGGCCCGCTCGAGCAAATCAATGATCAACGGGAGGGCCTTTACCTTTACCTTTGGGCTGGAGTGATAGCACAGCGGTAGGGCGTTCGCCTTGCACGCAGCCAACATGGCCGACCCGAGTTCGATTCCTCCGCCCCTCTCGGAGAGCCCGGCAAGCTACCGAGAGTATCTCGCCCGCACGGCAGAGCCTGGCAAGCTCCCCGTGACGTATTCGATATGACAAACACAGTCACAACAGAAGTCTCCAATGGAGACGTTACTGGGCCCGCTCGAGTGACCCAAAAAGAAAAAAAAAAAAGGAAGACGCATCACAGAGTTCCCAAGCCAGAGTCAGCCTTCAGGATCTCCGTGGGCAAGTCCTGACACACAGCACACACCGAGACACACACACGGACACAGACAGACACAGAGACACACACATACAACATGGACACACAGACACAGAGACACACGGACACACGCAGACACACATGGACACACATAGGGGATATTCACATGTGGACACAGAGTTACAGACACACAGACACACGGACACACACAGAAACATATGGATACACGTCCAGACACATGGACACACACGACACACAGAAACACGCACGCACCCCAACACATACGTCCATCCGACGTCCATCCGCCCCGCCCACTACATACACACATCCGCCCCACACCGGCGCAGCCCTCCACAAAGTTCACCGCTCACATGTGTGACCCGCAGAGGAGCACAGAGCCGGCAAACTGGGGCCTCTGCCTGACTTCCCAGGCGGCTCTGCCCTCTCTCTCTGTGGAGCTGGAATCGTTTGAGGGTCACGGCTGTGGGTGAGACCAGGCTCCCATGGCCCCCGCACCGCTTCCTCTCACTGCCTCTCACGACTTCCAGAACATTCTCCAACCCTTGGGTCCCAGCGAGGTGGGTGCTGGGCTCCATCCACAGCCCCTCCGCTCGGGCACACCGAGGTGCCACTTGGCACCCGGCAGTCGGTTCTACCCGGGTTGCCTGTGGCCCCAGGCCCGCTGGCTCTCTGTGGGACCCACAGCCAGCGCCGGGCCACTCGCCCCGCCCACTTCCCTGGCACCCCGAGCCTTCCCGGCACCCTGCCATGCCCTGCCACGGTGCCCGCCACGGCTCCTCTTGCGGCCCCACCCTGCACCGGGTCCCCCGCCCAGAACGACTGCCCTCCAGATCACCCCCAAATCGGGCTGCTCACCCCTGCAAGGCCTGCCCGCGAGATTCCCCCCAAAGCCCCCTACAGTGCCAAGTCCCCCTGGACGCTTGTCTGCCCTCAGGGCCAGCTCAGAGCTGCTCCCTGGGTGGCCTCCAAGTTCCCCCCAGCGCCTGGACCAGGCGGCCACAGGGACCCCGGCCGGCGCCAAAACGTCTCCAAACCCGGCTGGGCAAAAGGCCTCTGTCTGCCTGAACAGTGTCACTGTCCCTTTTGCCACGTGCCCTCAGGTCAGGCCACAAGCCCGAGGGGGTGTTGGGTGGGCTCAGGACCTGCCTGCCAGTGGACAGGGGCCAGCCACGGGGGAGCAAGAGAGAGAAGGCGGTGGACGCGGGGGGCCAGTCCTGCGCGGGGGACCCCACCCCGGGGGGCCTTTAATGGGGAGGGGGGCTGGCAGGAGGGAGGGGCGTCGCTCGCGCCTCACCCCTCCTCTTCCAAGTGGCAGTGGGGAGGAGGAGCCGGTCTGGGGGTGCACCCTCGGGAATCTGCTCGCCCCCCAGCCCGGCCGCGGCGACTCCGCGCCTCCTTGGGAAGTTGAGAGGCGCGCGGAGTTTCCCGAGCCGGCCCGGGGGAGCCTCCGCCCGTCCCCGCTCACCCGCGCAGCTCTGGGACCTCCAGATCTTGCCGAGGAGCAGGACCATGGCCAGGAGGTGGCTCAGGTCCCCCAGGACGCGGAACACGTTCATGGTCCCGGCGCGGCGCCAGCTCCGGGCAGGTCCGCGCTGCGCTCCCCGCGCCGGCCGCCGGGTGACGTGGCCGGGCCCGCCGCGCCCGCCCGCAGCCAGGAAGCGCCCCAGATCCCGCCTCCAGGCCCGGCCCCGCGCCCCATCCCGGGCGGGGGCTTCCGGCCCGGCCGCCACGTCCCGCGTGGCCCCGGCGGGACCCCGGCCGCCTCCTCCGCGCGGCTTCCCCGCCCCTGCCCCGGGTGCCCGCCCCGCAACGTGTCGCCGAGTCCAGCTGCCCCCTGCGCTCACACTCTCTTCTTGTGTGCAGGCGAGGCACAAGCTGGGGGCTTCCCGGGGTGGGGGGTACCCAGAAAACCAGAGACAGCCCCAGGGAGGTGGCTGGGGGGGGCAGATTTTCCCTCCCCGTGCTGTGTGTCCCCAGCCCACCCGCCACCCTCTCTGGTGCAAGCTTGGTAGGAGCTCTGAGCTCTGTGACCCCCCCCCCCTCCTCCCACTCGCAGCCCCCATTTCTCCCTCCAGGGCGGACCCACACCCGGTCAGTGGAGCTTTTTGTCCATCTGCCCTTCACGGCCCCCCAACCAAGGATTCTTGGGAGCCCAGGAGGGGGCAGTCCAGCCCCTGGAGTGTCACCGCAGAAAATGCACCCCCACCCGCCCCCAGCTCTGAAGCAGAACGTGCTAGAACGCGGTCCCGGGGTCCCCAGAGAGCCCCCCCCCCCGCTTCTGCCACCAGGATGCGGCCACTGGTCCCAAGGCTCTCAAGGGCAGCAGTATCACCCAGGATTGGGGACGCAGAGGACCCCCGCGGCTCCCGGGGTCTGTCCTCACCTCACCCCACCGTTGCCACCCAGGGGAGGTGCCCAGCGCATGCCCGGGAGGGGACCCGGGAACTGAGCAGGAGACGTGCAGGTGAAAGGCAGGTAAGGGGGGGCCCAGGCCTCACTGAGGGTCATGACAAGGGGCCCTTTTCGGCCCTCCAGCCCTGCCCAGCTGCCCCCGCCCCTGTGCCGTGCCTAGAGAAGGCGGCGGCTATTTAAAGCCCTCAGGTGTGGCCGCCGGGCCAGCTGGCATCCCGTCTCCACGCCCACCTCCTCCCTGAGCCGGGAACGCACGTGCCTTTGCCATTTGGTGAAACATCTGTCCTTCTGGAAGCGGCCCCGCCTGCCACAGCCGGGAACAGGCTCGAACCCGCCCTGCCCGCTCCTTCCCCCGGGCACGGCAGCACCGGACAAAGTCCCGGCAGGAGAATGAGGGTGTCCCAAGGGACATCCCAAGGCAGTGGAAGGACTAAGCCCACGCTGAATGACCCCTTGTCCTGTACCCACAGCAGGGGCCACAAGCCTGCCAGATCCCCTCTGGCCTCAGCTTACCCGTCCATTCAATGGGAACAATGAAGGTAGCCACTGCTCTGCTGTGGCTGGTCTTCAATAGCCCCAAGAAACGGAGCCCCCCCTCTCTGTGCCGACCGAGCACTCCTCACCCCCACGATACAGATGAAGAAATTGAGGTGCACACTCATCTCTGGCTCTCCACGACACACAGACCTCCTCAGACTGCCTCCCCACCCCCCAAACGCTTAGTCATCATCCCTGACTCTTCATTCGCAGCCCAAGGGGGAGCTTCAAAGCTCTTGACGCAGAGGAGGGGAGACCTCATGGAAAAGATGGGTCTGGGGGCGGGGCGGGGCGATAGTCCAGCTGGGAAGGCGTTTGCCTTGCACGCGGCCGACCCGGGTCCTATCCCCGGCATCCCATAGGGTCCCCCCGAGCACCGCCAGGAGTGATTCCTGAGTGCGGAGCTAGGAGTAGCCCTGAGCATCGTTGGGTGTGGCCCAAAAAGCCAAAATGATAATAATAATGATAATAATAAAAACAACAACAAAGGGGCTTTGAACAGCGCTCAGTGGTAGAGCATTTGCCAGCCTATGTGAAGTCCTGGAATGCCCAGAGAGTGTGCATGTTGGGGCTGGAACGATGGTCCAGTGGGGAGGGCGTTTGCCTTGCACAAGGCCGACCTGGGTTCGATTCCCAGCATCCCATAGGATCCCCCGAGCACTGCGCCAGGAGTAATTCCTGAGTGCAGAGCCAGGAGTAACCCCTGTGCATCGCCAGGTGACCCAAAAAAAAGAAAAAAAATGATTGGCCTGGGGCCCAGAGAGATGGTTCAAAGGGCTGGAGACAGCTTTGATCCGCAGCACACACAGTTCATGCCAGGAAAGGCTCCCGAGCACTGAGCCACATGTGGTCCCCTGCCCCCTGCCTCTGCCCCCCAAATAAGTGGTTCTGATCTCCTGTGCCCTCACACATGGCCCCTAGTGCTGGAGAGCGGCTGGCAAACCCTATACACCCTGGACCCCTGCTTCCCTGGCACTCCGACTGTGTCCGTGGCAGTCATGCCATTGCCAGGACGCCCAAGCAAAGTTCCATCAGCTCCAAGGGCAAAGGATTCTTTTATTTTTATTTATTTATTTGCTTTTTGGGTCACACCCAGCGATGCTCAGGGGTTACTCCTGTCTCATGAACTCAGGAATCACTCCTGACAGTGCTCGGGGGACCCTATGGGATGCTGGGAATCGAACCTGGGTCGGCCACGTGCAAGGCAAACGCCCTCCCTGCTGTGCTATCACTCTGGCCCCAGTAGGGCGAAGGATTCTTGTACCCCTCGTGAACAAAGCAAGTTGCAGTACAACATCGGCTTTCCGGAAGAAGAAAGGAGCCCCTCACTGGCGTGCGGGAGGTCTGACACTCGGGGTCGCGTTGGTCCTCTAAGCCCTCCATCCTGTCTCACCGTGGGGGTGAAAATCCAGCAGACCGGAAATGGGAAGCGTGGATGCAACAGGAACACCAGCCATCTGCAAACACCCCTCCATCGGCCAGCAGGCAGAAAGGGGCGCTCTGGGCTCTGACAGGCCCCTCAATGGTACCGTGGGGCCCCAGGGTATAGAATCACCCCTGGGAAGGCGGGGAGTGCGAGGGCCCATCACCTCACTTGGGATTGGGGGGTGTGGAGGGTCAGCTCCCCCTGCTGCACCACCTTTGGGGGGCAGGGGCTGCCCCCTTTCCTTTTCTTTAAGATCTCAGAGGGCGAGAACGATAGTACAGCGGGGAGGGCGTTGGCCTTGCACAAGGCGGACCTGGGTTCGAATCCCAGCATCCCATAGGGTCCCCCAAGCATCGCCAGGAGTGATTCCTGAGTGCAGAGCCAGGAGGAACCCCTGAGCATCGCCAGGTGTGACCCAAAAAGCAAAAAAAAAAAAATCTCAGAAGTAAGGGGGTGGGGGAACACAGGGAAGGTTGGCAGGCAGGCAGCCCCAGTTTCATCCCTGATCCCCACCAGAAATGAGCCCCAAGATGTGAGCCAGGAGGAAATCCCCAAGGCTGACCCCTCCAAAAGAAAAATAATTGGGAGTGATAGTAAGGGGAGCAGGATCTTTTTTTTTTTTTTTTTTTTTTTTTTTTGCTTTTTTAGGTCACACCCGGCGATGCTCAGGGGTTCCTCCTGGCTCTGCACTCAGGAATCACTCCTGACGGTGCTCAGGGACCCTATGGGATGCCAGGGTCCAAACCCGGGTCGGTCGTGTGCAAGGCAAACACACTGCCCTCTGTATTATTGCTCCGGCCCCGAGGGCAGGACCCATTTTACAGAGTAGGAAACTAAAGGTTCCCCAAACTCCCCTTCTCTGGCAGGTCCGGGCAGGGCACAGCATGCCCACACCATCCAGGGCGAGCCCAGGCTGGCACCAATGGAAGCGGGGTGTGAAGGGGCAGTGCTCACAGGGCCACCGTTTCAGAGGCGTCCTGCTGGGCTCTGAAGGACGCTGGGAGAGAAGCTGACGGGCCGGGAGCTGGGAGGGCCTGGGCCGTCAACAGGGAAAATCAGAGCATAAGTGCTGGAGTGATAGCACAGCGGGTAGGGCGATTGCCTTGCACGCGGCCAACCCAGGTTCGATTCCCAGCATCCCATATGGTCCCCTGAGCACCACCAGGAGTAATTCCTGAGTGCAGAACCAGGAGTAACCCCTGAGCACCACCGGGTGTGACCCAAAAAGCAAAAAAAAAAAAAAAAAAAAAAAAGAATATCAGAGCATAGAAACACCCACCCCCTGCTGGGACCAGAGAAGCGGCCAATGCATGGGTCAAAGTCAAGGTCAGAGGGACATTCGTTCCCTAGCTTATGGTGGACCATCGATGCTGGCACGTGTCTTCCAACACCGAGAGTCATGATGTTCTCCTGGGGTAAAGCAGTGAGTGATTCATAATGCGCTTGTCACAGTCCAAGTGGCTGGGCTCCCTAAAGCTCTCTGCCTGCCTCAGGAGCCTATTTATTTATTTATTCATCATTATTATTATTATTATTATTTATTTTTGGGGGTCACACCCGGCGATGCTCAGGGCTTCCTCCTGGCTCTGCACTCAGGAATCACTCCTGGCAGTGCTTGGGAGGACCCTATGGGATGCTGAGAATCGAACCCGGGTCAGCCGCATGCAAGGCAAAAGCCCTCCCCGCTGTGCTATCGCTCCAGCCCCTCGGGAGCCCCTTTAAAAAGGGGGTGGGGGCTGGAGCGATAGCACAGCAGGGAGGGCGTTTGCCCTGCACGCAGCCAACCAGGGTTCGATCCTCAGCATCCCATAGGGTCCCCCGAGCACCGCCAGGAGTGATTCCTGAGTACAGAGCCAGGAGTGACCCCTGTGCATCGCTGGGTGTGACCCAAAAAGCAAAAAATTAAATAAATAAAAAAGGCGGGGGATCTTAGAGCATGTTCCTGCCCTCTCGAATTTAAACCCAGATAAGTAATAATAATAACAATAAATTAAAATATCCCCTCTTCCCGGGGAGCCTTCTGGAGCGCGGGAAACGTTCTGCATCTTCATCCAAACGGTGGTTCCCGGGGTTTAAGACACCGGAAAGGAGATTTCCCGCGCCGCACGCCTCAGCCGCGCGCACGGTGGGGCTTGCGGGTCCCACCGCAGAGAAGAGAGACGCAGCGCCCGCCCGGCCCCCGGCTGGCCCGCGGCGGCGACAGGTGTCTTTCTGCGACTTCAAACAGCGCCCCAGGCAGGCGCGGCCCCAGC